ACACACACACACACACTCACTCACTCACTCACTCACTCACTCACAAACACACACTCATTTTAGCATCATCAAACGGACGATCACGCAATCACATCTCTGTCTGTGAGTGAGAAACTCTGTTCACATTCAATCACATCTTTCTCTATTAGACACAGATCAATCCTGATGAAGCTCCACGGCGCCATCTAGTGACAGCGGCTGTGTCTCAAACCTAGTCAGCTGACTACACAGATCACGCTGTTGAGCATCAGATCCTTGCATTATACCACCATATAATATCCCTCATCTGAGCTAAAACTGGAAGTAATGATGGTCAGCGGTGAAGGTTATACGGCTCTTCATTCAAGCATGTATATGGAAGTAAATGAAATTGAAATGTATATTTATTCACTAAAACAGCTCTGTTGGCACTGGCAGGAATAAGATTTTAAGATGTTTTCTCCTATGCATTTTAGTGAATAAAAATACATTTCAATTTAACTTACTTCCATCTACATCCTCGCTCTCTAAAGACTAACTAAACTTAATTAATAAACCTACAGAATGACAAGAGCAACTATATTCCTCTCACACACACACATATACAGTATACTGTATATATATATATATATATATATATATATATATAGTTTTCTTTATGCAAAAAAACCTAGAAAATGTGCTTTAAACTTCCCCTCTACAACATCATCAGAGCAAAGTATTTATGAACAAAGAGCGACAAAAAGAGAAAAATCTCCCGAATAAATGAGACGTAGGATCAACATTTTCTTCCGTGGGCTCATGGGACAGTAAAGTGTCCATCGAATCACGCTGGAAACAGCAGATCATCCGGGGACTTTCAGCTAATGCTGTGAATTCAGACTCTACTCTGTTCACATACTGTTTTTCACCTACTATTTAGTAGTTCAAGCTCATTTTATTTATATAGCACCTTTACAACAGCCACTAGGCTGACCAAAGTGCTTACCAGAGGAGCAAGATTAGAGCAGAATATAGCATACATCAGAACAGGCCAGACAGCAGAATTAAGAACAACATAGTTAAGAATGTCCATATAGCAGGAGGACCGAAACAAAGTTTTAAACTCAATTCAACATACAAGGGATTACGATTACTACAGAGATGTGTTTGTCACATTTTAAAGGCTGATCAACAAGAACGCACCCGTGAGGATCTAAAGGCAGATAAACTCTCCAAATCAGGGTCTATACACTGAGAACTCTCATTTGGGCTGAAAACAATTACCTCGGTCTTGTCTTCATTTAGGAAGAGGACATTATGGGCTAGCCATGATTTGACCTCCTCTAAGCATAGCAGAAGAGATGAAATCACAGCAGGATTGTTTCTTTTGATTGGTAAATAGATTTGAGTATCGTCCACATAGAAATGAAAAGATACACCATGTTTCCTTAGAATAGAGCCCAGAGGTAACATGCAGAGAGAGAAAAGAGAGGGAGCTAAGATAGAGCCTAAAATTACCCAGCTTCACTAGAAACTTTCTGTCGGTCAGGTATGACTGAAACCAGCTCAGAACGGGACTCTAGTCTAGATAATAGAGTGCGGTGGTCGATAGTATCAAATGCAGCAGATAGATCTAAAAGAATAAGAACCACAGAGTCTCCGGAAGCAGTAGACAGATGAATATCGTTGATAAGAGTGTGTGACTCACCCGAACGCTCACTAGTGACCAGCACATGCTGCTGGTGTCTAGCTTGTGAATCTCATTGGAGAAGCAGTCGGCCTGAGAACACAAACACGCTTCGTCACACGCTCGTTAGCTGATTATAATCACTCCATCACCTCAGTTACGCACCAGCTGCTCATATCCGCCGAAGATGTACATGGCCTTTCCCAGAACACAGGCTGAGTGTCCGTCTCTGGCACCTGGGACCATCCCAGAGATCTTGGGAGTGAACCAGCGGTGCTGGGCTGAGGAGACACACACACACACACACACACTCACAGACACACACACACACACACACACACACACACACACACACACACACACACAC